TACAAGTCTGAGATGGTGTTTTAAAATGGCAAAGGATCTGAAATGAACGCAGTGGGAGTCTCGTACCATCATGACACTTCTTTTAAATGCCACACATACGCTGAAAGAAACTTTGCTTTTGAAAGCACTGTGTCCTCAAGTAGTTTCAGACCCTGGTACTACTTCAGATCTGTGATGTTACTATGAAACACGTATTGCAGAGGTCTGGTGAAAAAAGAGTAATAATTGCACCATGGAGAAAAGCAGTTGAAATCCTATGGCAGCTTGTAACTGTTAGGATATATTGTTTTCCTGTTCCTGCTTCTGCACTGTCCTGTTTCTTCTTGCTGTAGATTTTCACCCCAGAAACTCACAAAGCTCTGAGAAAAAGGAAAACCGCAACAACTTAACCATATCAAAAGTTCAGGTTGTGCTACAGAAAAGCTGCAGATGGGAGAAGAGTGTGTAGGTAAAGAAGTTTGCATTCAGTTCATGAAGATTGGGTTTTGTGAAAGACAAGCACTCTTGTAAGAAAAGTTTTAGTACAAGAGAAGCAAAAGGAGCATGGATTTAGTTGGAAATTAAATAATTTTATAGTGTTTGTGGAAGAAGTATTATGAAAAACTTTTCAAGCTTGCATGGCTTAACAGGGAGATCCTGACAAAACTTAAGCATAAATTGAAGCTGCAGGTGGAAGTAGGGCCAGGTGACCTGGGAGGAATATGGAGACACTGTCTGAACATGACTGTGATCATGAATATCTTGTATCAGCAAATACAAAATAATAAAAATAAAATTAAAAAAAAGTGGCCCACAGGACCAAGGAAGTGATCATTCCTCTGTACTCATCACTGGTGAGGTTGTGTCTTGATTCCTCTGTTCAGTTTTGGACCCCTCACTGCAGGAAAGACATTCAAGGGGCTGGAGCAAGGGAAGGGCAGTGGAGCTGGTGAAGGGCCTGGAGCACAAGTCCTGTGAGGGAGCTGGGGGTGTTCAGTCTGGAGAAAAGGAGACTCAGGGGAGACTTTACTGCTCTTTACAACTACACTAAAGGAGGTTGGGATCAGGTTGGGGTTGGTCTCTTCTCCCAAGAGACAGATGACAAGTGATAGGACGAGAGGAAATGTCTTGAAGTTGTCCTGAAGGAATTTTACAGTGGATATTAGGAAAACTCACTTCACTGAAAGGATTGTCAGGCATTGGAACAGGCTCCTGGGGCTGAGTAACTGTCCCTGGAGGTATTTAAAAGATGTGGCACTTAGGGGCAAGTTTTAATGTTGACTTTGGCAGTGCTTGGTTAATGGTTGGGACTCACTGATCTTTAAGTTCTTTTCCAAGGTCTTTGCTGCTGAATGGAAAAGTGTAGGTTGTGACATAGGATGTTGCAAAGTCCAGAGTACTTGAGATGTCTCCCAAGAATCTACAGGCTGATCAGTCTCACCTCAGTTCCTGGGAAGGTGATGGAACAAATCACTGTGAAAACCCCTTTTGGAACACATGAAGAGGAGGAATGTGATTGGGAGTAGTCAGCATGGATTTCTGAGGGGGAAATAGTGTTTAACCAGCTCAGCAGTCTTCTGAAGGCTGTGTCTGATTGGAGGTCAGTCACTATTGATATACTCCAGTGTATTGATACACCAGTTTGAGTCACCAACGTGTGCTTGTGGCAGAGAAAGCCAACAGCCCCCTGGTCAGTGAGAGGAAGTTTTGCCAGCAGGTTGAGGGAAGTGATCCTTGCATTTTACCCAGCCTGGTGCCATCAAGAGGGCTATGTCCACTTCTGGGCTCCTCAGCACAGGAGACATGGGTGCACTGTAGCAAACCTAGTGAAGGGCCACACAGCTAAATGTTGGAGCATCTGGCACACAAAGACTGAGTGAGCTGGTACTGTTCAGCCTGGAGAAGAAAAGGCTTCAGGGGCACTTAATATGTAAGTACCCAGTGAAAAAGAAGAGAGAGACAGCCCTTTCTCAGCCTTATGAAAGGATGGAAAGCCCAAGAGGCACAAACTGAAACACAAGAAATTTCATTTAAACATCAGAAATCTTTTTTTTTTCTGGACACTGTGAGTTTAGTCATTCACTAAATCAGGTTTCCCAGAGATGGTGAAGTCTCCATTATTGTAGATATAAAAAAACCCCAACTTAACTGAGCCTGCTTTGAGCAGGTGAATGCACTGAATGATCACAAGAGGCTTCTTCCAAAGTCAGTTGCTGTACGAATCTGATTTTCATGTCTATTTTTAAAACAATAATTGTATTAAGGAACTTTCAAAGGCTGTAAGTTCTTTAATCAATTGTGATGTGAGAAGTCCAGAAGTATTTTCCTTTCTTTCTAGCACATGGCTGAGTGTTAGGATGCACTCCTGCTTTCTGATGCTTGTCCTACTAGAACATGCCACAAATTCTCCAAATTGCAGTGTCTCTGGTACAAGGCCATACTGAAATGCTTTCTCAGTGTACTTAACGACTCTAATTTCTCTGGCTTGTGTGTGTTGTCTTTCTCACAAGTAACCTCTAGGTAAGTTTTCTTTGGAAAATATTTATATCCTTTTTTTACTGGCACTCTGCTTCTATAGGGCTTGCTTGTGATAAGACACAGCAAACTCTTACACGTGTTTCTTCTCTTCTGGCAGTGATTAGTTTGTCCTTTATTTGTGATCTGTACTTAGCAGAAGTGTTTGAGGAGGAAAAGGTGAGTTTCCTCACCTACAGTTAAAAGCAAAATGTACACAAGGGAAAAACTTCCCATGTAAAGGAAATCAAACCTTCTTCCCTCAGGTGCTTCAAGTGTCCTAGCTGAATGGGTTGCATTTCTATTAAAGTTGGATCATCACTGCTTTTCCTACTTGTATAAACGGTTTTATTTGAAGTAATCAGGGTTGTGCTAGTCCTTTATAGGTTTGCCAGTGTGACTGGTGTGTAACATGAATTAGGAGAACAAGGAATAGTGTTGGTCCTGGTCCTGTTGCCTGCTTTGCGCCTCCTGTCCTCAGCCCACACATTAATATTTGTCTTAGCTCATAAAGGTCCAGAAAGTAATAGAAACCTACTGGGTGGGATCTACCCATGACAGGATGAGTGACCTGTTGTCTGTCTGCTATGGGCATCTGAATCAGGCACCTTCTTGCTGGGTTAAATTTGTAATCCACTGCTATCAGCATTTTGAAGAGATAATCTGTGCAGTATGGCAGTTTTTCCTTTTGACATTATTGCTCACCTGGAGCATGGGTAAAACAGTTCCTTGGCGTAGAGTTACGGTTTGAGCAGTCCTTGGTGAAACTGCTGTTCAAAACAAATGTATAAAGCTGTAAATCAAAAATGTCAGAATTTTCCAGAAGTGTGTAGTGTGTGCCATTTTAAATTTAACTTGCTAGAACCAGCACTTAAATATTTCAAGTAATTTCTAAATGTGCCCAGCATTATATTGTTTAGATTCTAATCAGAAGACTGAGTGGGGTTAAGTGCTCCTGTACTGTCAAACTTCCTACTGTCTGTTTTATGTAATTTTCTAATGCATTCTTCTGACCACTTACATGATGTAGTTGTGTTTCTCCATTTACTCTATAGGATGTCTGAAGATGAATATCCAAATTCAACTGTTGTGGACTCTTGTACAGGGGTGAGATATGAGGGAACAGTATTGTCCTGGTTTTGATCAAGCTCACTCTTATGCCTGTTCCAATTTTGTTTGTATGTATCCTCTCAAATATATGGGTCTGTAGCTATCTTGTTGCTATTGTTGTGTAATTGGCATTGATTAAAAGAGGGAACACACTTTGAGGTGAATGAGGTGCTTCTGAGATAGAGCCATGCCCTTGTTAGTTCACAGCCTGAAAGAAGGGAGATGATGGTGTTTGTAGTTGTGGAAGTCCAGACTGTGGAAATGAAAACATCTGTCCCAAGTGGCTGAAATGATTGACTTGAAAGGAATGGTATTCTAGATTTAAGAAACTAGCACAGAGCATTCATCCACTATGAATGAGTTTGTGTAATGATTTAGCAACTACAAATTGCATATTGACGTTTTTGTCAAGTCTGGACTGCAGCAGAGCAGTCATAGATGACACACTCTGACAAAATGATGCTATAAATGTCCTAGGTCATTCTGAAGAATATGTAAATCTTTGAAGGCTTTTTTTTTTTTAAGCTATAGAACAACAGTCTTGTACCTTTTTTCTTCTGATGATTTTCAAGTTTTTTATAAAATAGTGTCAACTTTGCAATTGGCTTGTTAGCTTTTCTTTCAAAAGAATTTTTGGGGTAAACTGTTGATGGCGAAACCTTAGAGACCCCCTGGTATAGGGCTTACACAATTCAGATGGTTCTTCAGCACATGTGTGTGGGAAACTTTTATTTTTTTTGTTTCACAGACATCAGTGGTCTGTTGCTGGCTTGAGCAGATGTTGTATCAGGTTTTATTGCAGAGTCAGCTGGCAGAGGAGTGCAGACAGGGCTTGGATGCTGGCTGGAGAAGGATGTTGGGCTGCAGAGAACAGCCCTGAATGTCTCTGGAGGCTGGGTTGTCTCTGGGGACTCTTACAGAAAAGGTCTATTGCCAATTGTTTTGGCAAATAGGATTCCCAGGAGCAAAGGGGAGAATGTAGTTTTTGCTGGATGTTGGGTGAGGTGCAGTGTCTGGTGCCTTGCACTCAGAACTGGCTGGGAAGGTTGCTGGCTCCAGAAAAAGTAGTGCAGATCTTTTACTGTTTTTACTCTGGATCTTTACTGCATGGTAAAATGTGAAGGGCATTACATTGTTTGGACATACAACTTGTTCTTAACTGCCACCCTACTGCTAATATTAGATTTACTTAGCTCTTGTCATAGTACATCTCAGTAAAGTGTAAAATAAAAATGTGTTTCTGTGACCGTGGCTCTGGGAGCACAAAACTTCTCTGGTCTTTTATCGAATTCCATATTTAGAAGAAAGACATAGTTCTGCTTTTCAGGCTCCAGCATCATAGAAAAGTTTAACTTATTTCTGCAGTTGTGTTCAAGGCTGTTTCTCTCTGTTTTCAGAGGTGTTGTCAAAGTCGACATCAATCTGCAGAAGGTGGACATTGACCAGTGTTCGAGCGAGGGATGGTTCTCAGGGACGCACAGGTGTCACCTCAACAATTCTGAGGTATGTCTGTCCCTAAGGGACCTCACTTCAGTAACAAATCTGTACAATGAGTAGTGTTCTGTAGTATTAATGTTACTTATTTTACAGACATTAAATGCGGTTTTTTAGGGCTGAAGAAATCTTTGTGTGAGGTGTTGTGGAATGCATGAGTGTCAGAAGTGCCTGCATTTCAGAATTATTGATGTTAAAACAGAAGCAAAGTTACTGTGAAGAGATAAGTTACAGAGAAAAAGATTGCCAATGAAATAATTTATGAGGTTCTGCTTTCCAAGTCAGACAATTTTGTGCTCAAAATCAAAACAGGATTTTAATGTCAGTGTCACTTTTGTTTGGACAGCTTTGAAAAATATAGTAGAAGTAGCTGAAATGCTAATGGTAATTATTCAGAAAAACATGGTCACTTGATAAAGTGATACAGAATAACAGGCAGAATTGGGTACTGTAATTCCTTCTTAGTAGAAATGCCAACATTTTGACAGGGCTGACTAAAATGTTTGTGCTCAGCTCCTTCCTGCTTTCTCTTTCTTCTGAAGGTCTGTGTCTGGTTCCATCTGTCAGCAAATCGTAGATCATTCAGACTGGCCACTCATATATGTTCAATTAAACTTTTAAACAAAATACATTTTGGTTTTTTCTTTTAATTCTGCTGTGTAAAGGTGATTTCAAAGACACCCATTTGTTTTCTGTAAGAGCAGGTACCTTGTGCACTTCTGTACTTTCGAAAATGCCAATGAAAATGTAGGGAAAGTTGACATTTATCTACCAGAAGTCAGGAGATGTTTGCCTAATTTTCTGTAAAATGCCAATTTACCAAAACCAAGTCTAAGTTTAGAAAGACAGTTTGTTTTGATGAATTCAGCTGCTAGCATATTTGAACAAGAAGAGCTCAGAATTATTGTAAACATATTTTTTTTTTGACTTTTGTCTTTGATTTTTTTCATAAAATAAACTTGAAATGCAAAATGAAGTCTTTGATAAAGACCGATTTAAGACTAGATATTTCTGCAAGTGGAAAAATGTTTTTCTTTGTCAGCTTTTTGACTTCTGAATTCAAGGGAATAGTTTTTAAATCCCTCATGTTTCTTCCTAGAAGAGAATGTTGTTTCCTATGTGATCTGGTAAACCTTGTTTTTCAGTATATTCTATGTGATTATATACTTTGGCAAGTACTCCTCCTTCTCCTAATGTCTTATGAGCAAAATCTGTCAGCAGAGGGGTGGGACTGTAAGTTGCATCTCTGCAAGTGAGAGTAAAAGGGGAAAAAATCCAGTCCTAGATATTTTGTGGTTTAGCCCCATTTAGTAACTAGGTACCACACACAGTTGTTCACTCATTTCCCCTGCCCCCACTGCCATGAGGAGGAGAATTTGGGAAAAAAAGATAAAAATGGTGGGTTGAGATAAGAACAGTTTAATAATGGAAACAAAGTAAAATATAACAATACTGATGATGATAGATATGCTATTACTAAAATGATGTAAAAAAAAAAGGAAAGTGAAACCTGAGACCAAGCAATGATGCGCAATATCACCTGCTGACTGATGCCTGTCCTGTCCCCCAGCAGCAAGTGACCCCTCCTGCCCAACCCTTCCCAGCTTGTATACTGAGCATGATGCTCCATGGTGTGGGATATCCCTCTGGCCAGTTCAGGTCAGCTGTTGCTTCTCGTGCCCATCCTCACTGGCAGAGCATGGGAAACTGCAAAGTCCTTGATGTAACGTGAGCGCTGCTTAGCACACTGGTGTTTTGGCTCCTGCTGTCAACATTTCTCTCCCAGAGAACCCAAAACACAGCAATGTACCAGCTGCTGAGAAGAAAGTGAACCCAGGAGAAGGTCCAAGACCTTGTATGGGATTTCATACTTGCTTCATTGGAACCCACTCTGTGGAATGAGGGTAACTTACATAGTTGTGCAACAATATTTTCCGCACAGTTTTTCTTATAAATGCTAATGAAATTGTATTCCCTGTGTTTTCTCTTGTCTACCTAGGAGCAGTTAAAGAAATGCCTGCTGATGGTTGAATGCTCTGCCCCCATTTACAAAGTCTGTCTCCAGCAGAGCAGGAGGAGAATGGAGATCCCTGGATTTCCAGTACAGCTTTAGTTAGACCCTCCTTGCTCACTTTAGTTTTGTTAGGTCACTTGACTGTTGGCTGCAGGGTAGCCTCTGTGCAGACTGTTTGATAAGTCTTTGCCATAAGGAATTTCTGATTTGGCTCTTGAGTGTTTATTGCACAGTCCATACCATGTGGCCAGGCCACCAATACCATTAAACTGAAGGCATAAAGCTCAATATTTCAGAATATTTAAAAATGTCAGAAATACAACTCCCTTCTTCTGACATGGTATGAAAACATAGTGACTTTATGCAAAAACAAGAGGAAAAGACCAAAGTTATGATTTAATCAAAATGCTTTCATAGTGGCTAAAATCTGCTAGGCACATGGCAGACAAATTCTCCTACTTTCTGTGCTGTTCTGAAGTGTTTATTTTCTAAATAAAAATGAGTTGAGATGAGGGAGATGGAGGTATATGACAGTGACTGGAAACATATGGTAAGCCAGTGGTCTGTATGTGCTAGACAGAAAAAAGAGAAGGCATGGATGGGATCCAACTTCCACCAGAAAATAGAGACTGTTTTTGAAAGTACTGTAATTGCCTTCACATAGTCTGGCACAGCAGCATCAGGAAATGATGCTAACTGTGGCACTGGGATTTGTCTTTGGAAGGTCATCAAGAACAACCTGATTGTGATGGGATAGTTGTAGTGCTAGTCTTTGCTTGGAGAAAAATAGTGTCAGGCTGGTTGATTTAGGTATGTTATGACTCAAATACGCAAAATGCTGAGACATACTAATCTTTTTTAAACTTCCATCTGTCCTTAGATTTAGGTGTTCCTTAGGATCGTTGCCTCTTAAATAACTTGCTTTATGTTTGGTGCCCTCAAGTACAAAACAGAAACAAGCACTGAAAACTTTGGATTCCCTATTTTTAATTTGACTACTTAAATTCCCAATATGTAGTGAAAACTTTTCCTGATTTATTCTCTTTTGTGGGCAGTACACATACATCCCTGATATCATAGCAACCTAGATGAACAAGAGTGTCCTCCTTTAACCTCAGGGTAACTGGACACTGCTCAGCCTAATTAAGCAGGAAGTTAGATGAAGCTTGACACAGAAAAGCCAAATTGCAGCCATGGATAAAGTCTATTTCAGTTGTTACTTTTTTCTCCTTTTTTTTGAATAACTGAATCAGCCAGAAAGAGGCTGATGGCCAGGTGTTATTTTTGTGGGAGAGTGCTACATTCTGCTTCCTGCCTTCTATCTTGACTCCCAAATAGGCAACAGCTTTCCCAAAAGCTTTTGGGCAAGAGATTTGGATTCTCTGGGGCTGCAACAAGTATTACAGGTAATATCTGCAGAGTGAGAAATAATTAAGTAGGGTAGGTTATAAAACGATGCAGAAAAGTCTGAAATTAACAAACAGAAAAAGTGTAGCTACCCAGTAACAAATGGAAAGTAATTTCATTGTACATGGAGTGCTGTACAATGGACCTTCAAGGCTGGTTATTTGGAGTAAGAAAACATGCACTTTTACCCCATTTGAAACCCTTGAAAATTTGTACTATATTGGATTTCTTCTCCATAGATGCTGACAGCAGCGGCTGGCACTTTTAGTAACAACTTTAGAGTTCTTGTGGAGACACCAGCAATAACGTCAAGGCTGAGGAGCATCTGAAGAAATCAGCTGGTGTGGCCCCTTGAGCTCAGCTGGATCCTTCCAGCCAGCAGCATCAGTCTGTGAGCAGTAGCAGCAGACTCCACGCTGTTCCCCTGGCCTTAATGAGCCTGCCAACAGCTTACAATGTGAGGCAGGCTCAGCTGACATCCCTTTGGGTTTCAACAGTATTCCACAAATGACAGCGAGCAAAAATATCTAGAGGAAATGAGGGAAGCAGAGTAAACAAGAAAGCTGCATTGCTGTCTGTATACAGTGGCTGCATATCTGTGTTTGTAGAAGGATGCATAGGCCTACTGTGTGTTTATTTGCTGTGCACAAACACAAAAGCAATTGAGAAGGGAAAACAAATGAGCAGTGCAGCCAAAATATTTTTTCCATTGCTTAGCGAAACATTTGGGACCATCATATTTTATTATACTGTATGCAAGGTTACAAGCAACTGAACAAGGGGGAGGCAGGGGCTGATTAAAAATAGAATTGTAATGGGGACTGAGCTGGGAGAGGGGAGGTTGGAAACCCAATGCTTTCTAGGTTTTTCAAGCAAATGCTTTTCAGTGCCCTTGTCAGACTGGAAAAAGGCTATTAATGTGCACAGTCTGTGGGAGGGGAACCATGGCAAGAGATTAGCATCTGAAGTCATAACCCACTGGGTCATGCTCAGTGTCGCTGATTTTGCTTATTACTTGCATGTATTTTCTGTCCTATCCATTAGGAAGAGTGCAGTCAGAATTAGAAGAATTTGAAAGCAAAGCTGTTTGGTGATTCAGTCTGAGTGAATGGGTTTATGGATTATAGTTAGCTTGCAATTTGGAAATAATAATGACTTTTGAAGCTACAGATTGCATCCAGCATAGGATAAGAGCAGTACCCAGCCAGAGTCGAGAGCATGTCAGGATGTATTTTCACTTAAAACAACATCTTTATTGGCAGAAAACAAATACTAAATGCTACAGCAAATCAATCCTGGACTGAAGGGGGAATCTAAGGCAGAAAGGGCAGTGGCTTATTTCAGTATTCAGGTAAAGAAAACATAGCCAGCACTTGGATTCAGAAGCAGACAGGTGTATCTGTTCTCTCCAACAGCTCAGGGTGTTTGAAGAGTATGCTGTAGACACAAAGAACATTTCAGATGCTATTTTAAAAATAACTTGTGCATCATCTGCATTCATGGGAAAAGTCCCCTTATGACAGTAAACCAGATCTAATCTGGCACTCCCCCAGACACTGTTACATAAAATAAGGTGGAGGTTTGTCAG